GGACGGAGAGGAGCGAGCTGCGGGAACGCGGCCCCGCGATCCCCCACACGGCCCGGGGTGCTGCAAGTGGTGCCTTCAACAAGGGCAAGACGAGAGGTCGCAGCGATGCCGAGCGGCGCGTTGGGCCCAGCGGTGCCGCGAGGGGACAGGGACAGGGATGGGGACAACACGGGGACACGCACAGCGCAGACAGGTACCGGTACAGGTACAGCAGGTAGCTGTACAGCACACACAGACACAGGCAGAGCACATCCAGGTACAGGCAAAACACATAAAAGTACAGGTACAGCACACACAGACACAGGCAGAGCACATACAGGTACAGCACACACAGACACAGGCAGAGCACATACAGGTACAGGCAAAACACATAAACATACAGGTACAGCACACACAGACACAAGCAGAGCACACAGACACAGGCAGAACACACAAGTACACATAAAAGACTACCCAAGTACAGGCACAGCACACACAAGTACCCCCAGGTGCTACAGAAGCCACAGCCTCACCCCACCCAGCACCAATTTCCCTGGTAACAGCTAGAAAATGCAGAGCATGAAGAGGAGCCCTCCAAACTGGCTAAATAAATTTACTAAACCAGTGCAATAAAAACAGTTCACATGTTTAACAAAAGTGACTTTTTCTCTAGGTAAAAGCTCCTGGATTTCAATACCTCATCCAGAAGTTAGGACTGTGCACTCTAATTATCACTCCTAAGTTGTTTCCATGTTGTACCACTGACTAGTTCTCACCCTTGTATCTCGGAGCAATATTAGTAGTCATTTTGATTATTTATTTATTCAGCACAATCAAGTTCTCACATAGAACTCATGTCACTAAAGGAAAATAAAAGCACATATATATTAATATATACATTCCTAAAGTGTGTGCAATTACTGAAATGTGTATTTGGAAGAGTTAAGCAGTTTTTATATAAAGATTTCTGGAATCCAAGCACACTGATCCACCTGGAGGATCCAGGACCCGCAGACAAGCTAGAAAAACTGTTACAAAATCAGCTCTGTACATACAAACACCACCATGAACTCACTCCATGGGAGCAAAAACCCCCAAACTCCTCCTTGTATAGCCAAGATCACTCAACCCTGTGTCCATGGGGCCAATGAGTAATTCCATCCTGGAAAGCAACAGCCGGAGAGTTACAGGTGGAGATGTGAGGATTGCTGCTGTGGGACAAAGCTTCGTGCCTTGTGTCTCACCATAACCTCTGTGGAGCTGTTAGAGCCACGAGCTGCACTCTGTGGGTGGTTACTGTGACCCAGAACTAGAGCAGCTCAGTAGTGGAGCTGAAAGTGCACTAAAGCAGGCAGAAAGGTCTACATTAATTCAAGCTCTTCAGGGCCCAGCCAAGAGTATTTTTCTTTTCTTGAAGAGGCCATTTCTTGGGGATTTGGACTTGGAGGGCTCAGTTTAACCCTCCTGCCACGTGGGCTCCTAAGGCACTTGGGTGCACAGCCAGAGAGGCCACAAGGAATGGACATGTGTCACCTCCCATGCAGTGGCACATCACAGAGCAATATCCAGTCAGCCCCTTGGTTCTTCGTTTGGTGCTGATCCCTGGGATTGAGCAGTGCTTTGGGCACAGCTCTGTTGCCTTTAGAACCCCAAATGTGACACGTAGGTCAGCCTTCTTCCAACAGGGGCACTCCCAGGAGCAGAGCCTAGTGCTGCAGTGACAGCCAAGGCCAAGGGACGGACGTGGTGACCACACCAGGCACTGCTCCAGGCTAACAGCTCCCACAGCAGCTGAGGATACAATTTGCCACTAAGTTCTAAGTAGCTATGAACAGCCACATGCCCAGTTAATGAGACAAAGGGATACTTGTGCTGTCATCGCTTGGAGGGTGTTTTGCTTGTGCTTCTGTTTTGGCCCCCTCGGGCTGGGATCTTGCCTCCCACAGAGGGAGGTCGAGGCTTGGCTCCAGCAGGACCAGCTTTCCTCAAATACTGCCCAGTTTTGGCTGTGGAGAGAAAACAGAGATCATTATTGCAAACACATCTAGTCCAGGAGTGAATTCTATCCATCACTTTGATCCTCAAGACCTGCCAAGTCTGAACGACTGAAGCAATCAGGAGCTGTCAGGCACTGAGGCCAAGCACATCCCACACCAGGAGAGGTTGGACTAACTAGCCTGGGTTCCTTTCCCATGGCTAGGAAATAGCTTTGGAGCCTCAGCTACATCCAGGCAGGATTTAAGTTCCTTCTATGTTTCCAAATTCTAAGCAGCAGCAAACTAACGACTAACTGGATTAGCAAGCACAAACAGCAAAGCTGTTATGTGCAGATATGAGCAAGGCACAGATCAGGCAGAGGAGGTGAACTCTGAGCCTGCAGCCAACTAAAGAACTCCAGAGTCTGCAGAAGCAAAGGTTTGGGTGTTACTGGCCATGAGTTCTAGTGCTGCAGGCAGCTTGTTTAACCTCTGTGTTCTGGACATAAAAGGATTTTCCATCTGCTTCACAAATAAAGACAACTGTTAAAAACCCACTGCCTGACATCAGCATCATCTCTTTTCTGGGGGAGAAGCTGCACAATGACAAACTGTGCCCAGTTCCTGGGTCTGAACCGGAAAGCAAAGCAGTGCACAGCACTCTCTATCCAGCTATCCTGCAGTCAGGACCAGATTAGCACCCTCTGACTGGACATGGAAAGCTGAATCAGGCTCTGGTTGCCTGTGTCAGCATTCAGGAGCTTTCCAGAACGTTCACTGTTCAGCTGATTGTTCTGTCCATGGTCACTCTGTTCTGCAGGAAAGCCCTGAACTGATCAGTTTATCAGATCTTCCAGCTTTCCCTATCAGCTGACCTCATGTCCCTGTTTGGAAATGATTGTTGCTGCATGATTTGAGGAATTTTCTCCCCAGGTTTACTGTACCAGCACAGGAACTATCACTCAGCTCACACAAATGCAACCCATGAGTTGGGCAGACCCAGTTTGCTCTCAGGGATGAAATACTTTTCCTGAGTAAAGGCAGGACAGCTAAAGCAGAAACATTCTCAGCATTAACTGACACCTTACCAGGATGCACCAGAATGGTTTTATTCATGGGGCAGATCCTCCTCTGATTCATCTTACAGCCATCTCTGTCCATCAGGTGAGATTTCCAGGCCTGGAGTCAATGACAAAGACTTATAGTACTTATAGTACTTATAGTACAACACCAGCAACATCAGCCAATGTTTCACCAAATCGTGTGCACACGTGGCTTTTAACACATGAGGAAAATCAGAGTTGTATACAGACAACAGCACCTTCATCTGCTCAAACAATGAGCATCTTGTGACTTACTGTGAAGCAGAAATTAATACATCCACTATTCTCACACAACTGTAAAGATACATCACACTGAACAACCCCAGCCCCACGTGGAGCACAGCCTCACCTCCTCTCCAGGGGCAAAGTTCTCGTGGCACAGTGGACAACGGTTTGCCACATTTGCTGGTTTGGCAGCTGAAATTGTATGAAAAATAATGTGAGAATTGCAGACAGGTTGTTCCAACCTGGCCTAGAACACTGCCAGGGATGGAGCAGCCACAGCTGCTCTGGGAAACCTATGCTAGAGCTTCACACCCTCATAGGGAAGAGTATCTTCCTCATATCTCATCAAACCCTACTCTCTGTCATTCCTCCTTGTCCTGTCCCTCCAGGCCCTTGCAAATACTCTCTCCATCTTCCTTGTCATCCCCTTCAGGTACTGGGAGGCCACGATGAGGTCACCCTGGAGCTTTCTCTTCTGCAGGCTGAACGCCTGTCCCTCCAGGCCCTTGCAAATACTCTCTCCATCTTCCTTGTCATCCCCTTCAGGTACTGGGAGGCCACAATGAGGTCACCCTGGAGCCTTCTCTTCTGCAGGCTGAACAATCCCAATTCCCTCAGCCTTTCCTCATAGCAGACCTGCTCCATCCCTCTCATCACCTTGGTGTCCCTCCCTCCAACAGGTTTATATCCTTCCTGTGCTGGAATGACAGTGCTTAATCCACAGGGATGTGGTAGAGGCTTTCCATTCTCCTCACCCAACCTCCCCACACACGTTCATAGCGTCCCAACATTCTGAGCCCTGGGAAACAGGCTTGGAAGAATTGGCCTGACTTGCCCAAGATCCTGAAACTCTCAAGTTCCACCTTCCTGGAAGCACTCACGGTTGCAGATCCTGCTCTTGGTGTGCTTGGCCAGCTGGTCCTTGGGCAGGGCCTCGGTGCAGCGCTGGCACTGCCCAAAGCTGTCCCTGCTGTCACAGTCAGTCAGCAGATGCTCTGTCAGGCTGGAGATCTCCACCACCTGCAGCACAGCCAGACACCAGCAGGTTGGGGAGAGAACAGGGATGGGGTTAAAAAACCTCCTTACGGCACCTTTGGAAGTTAAGCTTCACCTTCCAAAGGTGAAACTTAAGGGAAAGTGAACTTTGAGTCCAATTAATCAGCTTCTAATGCTGCCCTTTCCCAGAAGCAGCACCCAGAGCACACAGGTGTGTTCAGAGTTCATCCAGTGTTAAACACCTCAAACCCAGAACAACCAGAGTCAGTGTTTTGGTGGCCCTGGAAAGCTCAGCCTGACCTGTCTGCAGTGCTCACAGCAGGTTAACATGGGGCAGTGCTTCCAGTAGTGCAGATCCAACCCTTCCTCGGTGAAGGACTCGTTCCTCTCACCACAGAAAATACACAGGCTGGGGAAAAATACAGACATCAGTGACATCAGAGGGAGGTGGGTTCCTGTTATTAGCTCACAGGTCACACCAAGTGCTTAAGGTGATTTAGGCTGCTCATCTCACTTACTTATCCAGGTAGTTTGCAACTGAGGGAAGATGCTCTGGAATCTCTGCTGCTGCAACCTGGAGACTCTCATATACCTGGTGACCTGCAAGGTGACAACTATTAAACCAAGGCCACATTTGGATTAATCTACACTTTTAATATCATTTGAAACCACCTACCTGGATTCTTTGGCTTCTGAAAATCAAATTCCTTCTCCTATTGAGCAAAGAAATTTACGTCAGAAATTTGCTTAATGACCATGATGCCTTACAGGGAGAAAGGGAACAATCACATTCTGATTTTGCTCTGGAATTTAAAGTTAGAAGCAGAGCCAGAGCGCTACAACATTTGTGCTTCTGGTCCTAGAGCAAATGTCTCAGGTATTAAAGTGTTGATTTACATTATAAAGGTATTATTGTTTTTATACTATAATAAAGAATCCAAATTTAATACTGTGTTAGGGAAAACAATACCCCAGACTTTAAACTGGAGTGCTGGGGAAGGGAGGTCACCCAGTGTGTGTCTGGAGTGTCTCTTTGTTTAACAATGTCACTGCCTAAGCCTGTGACACCTCAGACACACAGGACTAAAAAAACAACAGTTAAACCCAACACACACTCACCTCTCCAGCCTGAACCTCTGCTGGGGTCTCTTTATCTGCCAGCTGACCCTGCAGGACTTTCATTTCTTCCTTCTTCTGTCTCTCTGCTTCTTCTCCCGTTGCCTTTCTCTGTCCCTAACAGGAAATACTCTGTCAATTCCAAAAGCTTTGGAACTATTCACCATACAGGAGACTGCAAAACACACCAGCTACAAACTGATGGTGGATGATACAGGAAATGGGCTCAGTAAAATGAGGTATTGATGCAGTGACACCTCCCTCCTCCCAGACCCTGACAGAACACCCAGCACAGCCGCTGTGCTTACTGCTCCCAAGCTCAGCCTGCAGAAAACAGCACTGGTGCA